TGTGGGCTGGGGCAGTTCTTGCATTGAGCACCTGCCCTCTGGTGGTCAGTGTGCCGTCATAGCCACCGGTCAATCCACTGGTTGTTTTGCTGTTTAGTTGACTTAGATATTAGGCTTTTATTATATAGGGCTAGAGGCCTGGTGCATGAAATTTGGGGGGCCCTCAGCCAGGCCTGCACCCTCTCCAATCCAGGACCTCTCAGGGGATGTCCGACTGCCAAGGACATTGGGCCTAAACCGGCAGTTGGCCATCCCTCTAGCAATCTGGGACCGCTGGCTCCTAACTGCTCACCTGCCTGCCTGCCTGATCACCCCTAACTGCCTCTGCCTGCTGGCTTAATTGCCCCCTAACTGCTCCCCTGCCAGCCTGATTGTCCCCTAACTGCCATCCCCTATCGGCCTGATCGCCCTCTAACTGTTCCCCCCTGCCAGGCTGATTGCCCCCTAACTGCTCCTTTTTGCTGGCTTGACTGTCTCTAACTGCCTTTGCCTCGGCCCCTGCCACTGTGGCTTTGTCCGGAAGGATTTCTGGAAGATGTCTGGGCTAATTAGCATATTACCCTTTTATTAGTATGGATTGTCTCAAGGAATCTGCTTTTGTTTAATTGCTTTTTTCTCTTTTCTATTCTTTTGATTTCTGCTCTTTGTCATTGTCTCTTTTTTGCTTATTTTGGATTTAACTTATTTTTATTTTTATTTTTTTAGCTTTTTAAGGCAACACCTGAAGTTTTTGACTGGAGATCTTCTTTTCTAATACAGGCTTTCAGTGCCAGGAATTTCCCTCTAAGTACACATTGAGATATGTTGTGTTTCATTTTCATTCATTTCGTTATCTCAAATACTCTCTGTATTTTAATTCTTTTCCCCATGAAGTATATTAGTTTTCAAATATTTGGAGTTTTCCAGATATCTTTCTGTGCTTGATTTCTAGCTTAATTTCAGTTTAGTCAGAGAACATATTTGTATGACTGGACTTGAGTTCTTTAAAATTTACTGAGACTTGTTTTATGGCCCCAAAGATGTGTATCTTGGTAAATGTTCTATGTGCTTAAAAAATGTGAAGAATGTGTGTTCTGTTGTTTATAGAGTATTCTATAAATGCCTTTTGGTCAGATTGGGTGATAGTGTGATATCTTTTCTGTTTTTACTCATTTTCTGTCTTTTTTTTTCTAACAATTCCTAAGAGCAGGGTGTTGAAATTCCCAACTGTAACTGTAGATTTGTCCATTTCTCCATACACTTCTATAATTTTTTTTTTTTTTTTTGTGTGTGTGTGTGTGTGTGTAGGAAGCTCTGTTATTGGCTGCATGACTGTTTAGAATTGTTATGGCCTCTTGATAAATCTTTATGAAATGGCTTCTTTGTCCCTGGTGAGACCTTTATCTGATATTAGTGCAACTGTTGCAGTTTTTTTTACTTGCATTTCCATGCTGTATCTTTTCCATTTCTGTCTTTTAATCTATCTGTATCTTTATCCTTGTAAGCAGTGTTTATACTTGGGTCTGTAAACGTGGGGAAGATTTATTTTACAACTAGAGGCCTGATGCACGAAATTCATGCAAGGGTCTTAGCCCTGGCCCCTGCTTGCTGCTGTAGTGGCTGGTGGCCTCTGTTGCTTCTGCCTCAGCTCCCACCCCTGCCCACTGTGGCTTTTCCTGGAGGAAGGATGTCCGGAAGGACATCTGGTGTAATTAGCTTATTACACTTTTATTATTAATCAAGTGCATGACCTTCTCTCTGAGTCATTTTTTGTCATACCTCACATGATGCCTCTTTGAACTCTGACAAAGAAAAACTCTTGTTTTTTCTCCAATCTCACAACCTTTGCCCTCTGACTGGGGGGTGAAGAGTGGACCATTTGATATGCTAATTGATAGATTTGGGTTTAAAACTACCATCTTTCTGTTTTCTATTTGTCACTTTTTTGGTTCTTGTTCCCTTTTTGGCCTTTATTTGGGTTATGTTTATGATTGTATTATTTTTAATTGACTTGCTAACTAGAACTTTGGGGCTCCTTTAGGATTTTTAGTGGATAGGCTGCTATCAGGTGATGGTATGACACACTCCACACCTGGGAACACAGGGCCCTATGCTTCCTGGACCTCCTCTTAGTTTGGGTTATTTTTGATAGGTTCTTAGTATATGATATAAACATCTCAATAAGTATTCTTTTTGCTTTAAACAGTTCTTTTTAAAAAAAATATATATTTTATTGATTTTTCACAGAGAGGAAGAGAGAGGGATAGAGAGTTAGAAACATCGATGAGAGAGAATCATCGATCAGCTGCCTTTTGCACACCCCATACTGGGGATGTGCCCGCAACCAAGGTACATGCCCTTGACCGGAATCGAACCCAGGACCTTTCAGTCTGCAGGCTGACGCTCTATCCAGTGAGCCAAACTGGTCCTGGCTAAACAGTTCTCTTTTTAAGAAACTCAAGATAAGAGAACACTTTTACATTTACCTATATGGCTCCCATTTCTGGGGATCTTCATTTCTGTGTGTGGAGCTGTGTGCCTGTCTGGTGTTACATTCCCTCTGCCTGAAGGACTCTTAATAGTTTTTTTGTTTTGTTTTGTTTGTTTGTTTGGGTGTAAATCTGTTGCAGGTGGATATTTTCAATTTTTGCATATCTGAAAATCTCCGTTTCTACTTCACCTTGTGTTTGAAAGCTAACTGCATGTGAGGTGCCAGTGCAAAGCCCTGAGAAGGTGCTTAGCCAACCTTGTGATGGACGCTGGGGTAGGACGCATGGAGTTTGGGCAAAACACAGCTCTGGATAGAGTTGTTCATATTTGAGGATAAATAAACAGAAAAAACCAACACTATGGACCTTAGCAAGTTGTCCCAGGGGAGAGAGAATTACACTAAAATGCAGAAGATGAACTTACCTTTAAAAATGATTTATGGTTGAAATCAGAAAACAAATTTTAAAAGACTGGCTAGAAGAAGATGTGACTCCACAAACAGGAGTAGAAGGTCATTAAGAGTGAATCCATGGAGAGGAAAAGATAATGGATGAGTTGTAAAGGGAAATGGTTGGAAATAAATGTTTAGTTATAATCCATAGTAGAAGCTATAGGAGTACAACTGATCACATGAAAAATAGCAGTGATGTGAATAGCAGAGAACACCCTTGAGAAGATGCCTGGGCATGAGAATAAACAGCAGACGTGCCTGTGGTGATAGAGTGAGTCCAGTCAAATGTAGAAGGATCCCTGAACAGCATTTCCTGAGCAGGAAGACCAATAAGTATGGAAAGGTTCATGTTTGGAGTAAAATAAATGAAAGGAGGCTTTTATCATACATCTTCTGAAAATGTTTTTTTAATTTCAAGATTAAAAATATAATTCTAGCTGAATCCAGCCAGAATAAAGTAACAATAGCAACACCACCACCACCAACATCATACTCTGCCCCCAGGGTCTCCATGGGAAGGAAACACTATTGAGCTGATGGAATTTTCTGCAATGTGAAGGGTGGGGCAATGCCTACAGATTTTTAGCCAAAAAATGTGAGTTAAGACTTTTATACCCAGCCAAAGTGTAACTTGTATGAAGGATACAGAGCCTAAGGTTTGTTAAGGGTTTGCAAAACATATCATCTACATTGCCTTTAAGAAAATGATGTTACTTCTGACTAAGAGATGAATAAAAATTCTGAACCTGAGAAAAATATGTCACTGTGTTTCATAGGAAATAACCAGATACAGAACCATAATATAAAGATATTAGATATTAACCACAGAGTTACAGATCCATGTCCTTGGAAACCACCTAAAGACCAACCTCGGAGAGGGATCCCTTCCATGCTGTGTTGGCTGGGGTTCTTTGGTTATAAAGCATAGGGAAAGACTGTCCTTGAGTAATTTAATCAAGAGCAGGAATTTGTCACACTAGCAAAGGAAGAGGTGACAGAGGCCCCAGAAGGGCCTTCAGCCAGGCTCAACAGGAGAATTTCCAGAATTACCATTGTTTTCAGTCTATTTCTACATTCTGATAAATGTACTATCTGCTCATTTCAAAGTTTAAAAAGTCCCTCATGATGCCACCGCCCAAAGCAAGGGCTTGGTGGTGGGAGTTCCTAGACTTGTCTCAGGCTCTGTCCAGTGACTGACCTATGGGCAAGTCTGATCTTGGGGAGAGGGTTTGTTGAGGTGGCCAGTCACATGCCACCCACCTGGCATGGGGGTGGGGCAGCTCTGTCACAATGCCTTCCAGTTTGTGCTGCCAGGAGTGTTATGGACACTAAAACTGGCTGTAATGTCAGCACAGATCGTAGGAAATGTGGCTGGGAGCTGGCAGTGTGGGCAAAAGGCAAAGGAAAGCATGTCAGGATATTACCAAATGTCTGCCTCTGTGATGGCATCATGGATGACTTTAAATACTTTCCTGTGATGCGTGCATGCTACTTTTATAATGAGAAAATGGAAATCAGCTGAGGAAATGGTAATTGTGGAGGTGGAAACGTGTGGGATTTAAGTGAGGAGGGCTTACTGCAGACTGGGACTCAGATTGTTAGGAAAGATTTGGTGTATGTGGATGTGGGCTGGATGGGAGTGTGCACACATGAAAACTGGTGGGAATGGGCCAGAGTGATTCCCTGAGACACATTCTCCACTCATGGTGCCCCGGTTAGAAACGCTGCCCTGTGGATCGTTTCACTTATATTCACATGTGTTTACTAACAACCCCAGTGCTTCCTGTCAGCAGAAACGCCCAGATGAATTGTTTTACCAGTTGGCGGTGAAATGATGAAAACATATCCGGGTTTCCTTGGGTCGCCTCCTGACTGGCCTGTTTCTGTCTCCCCATGCAGGTCCTCCCCTGAACTGGTGGACACGTTGCTGTGGACCGCCCAGCATTGACGTGGCCGAGGCTGTGGCCCCCGCCCGCTGCTGGATTTGGATGTGTTGGCGGGACTCTGGAGCTCTGTGCAGCATTGTGTCCGTGGAAGTTTCGAGCCATTGATTTGTGAAGAGGAGCAGACAGTGCTAGCGATGAGCTCCCAAAGCCACCCAGGTAAGGAGCTGCGGGCTGTCCTGGGCAGAAAGGAAGTCACTGCAGCTGCAATGTCTCACTGGTGGTAGATTGGTTTTCTTGACAGTTGCCCCTGGTGGTCTGACAGCACCCGGTGCAGAGTAAATTATTCTTGGGAAAGACACATTGTAGAGCCCTTGGGAGACTCAGGCCCCATCTTTGCTGAATTGCACACTGACTTGAGTGGCAGATGTGTGTCCTAGACACCAGGAGACAAGAATGTTGCTTTAGTGAGGTGGGGTTCAAAGGTCAGTTTGTGATTTGGAAAGTTAATTAATCATCCAGTTTCTTTGTTCCTGGGGATTCAGGGGTAGGGGTGATTCTGTGACAGGGCTCTGCTGCTAGATTGGGTTTTATTAGGCCCTACACTAAGCATGTCACATGATTCAGTCTTTACAATGCCCTGAAAATCTCATCCTGTAGGGAAGGGGTGCCTTGTCCATGGTCATAGAGTTAGTAAGTGGCTGAACAGGACTGGAAACCATGCTTGGGTGGCCTTTGGCTTCAGAAATGTGTTGTGGGTACCCACCATTAGGTCAAGTCCCAGTGCAGTTGCCAGATGAAAGCCTGAGTCCTGATTGCTGCCACTCCCAGCACCTGGCCTGTAAGAGCACTTATAGCAGGTCTGTCCTGTGTCCACGTGGGAGGGGTGGCAGTGGCCACTGGACAGAACTGGGCATCCTCAGGCCCCCACACCCCTGTCAGTGTGACTGGGGAGTCTGGGTCTGTGCCTCTGGGATGGCCCAGAACCTGCACACACTCTTCCTCCCTTGGCCCGACTGGAGTTGTCTGAAACTCTGGAGGCTAGGATTCCCAGTTATATTTAGATAGGAAGGCTTTATTGAGATAAATTGTTCATGTTTGATTGATAAAATGTGTAAAACAAATTTAAGCATCTGGATTGAAATGTGTCAAGCAGACCTTGAGGGGTGCCCAGCTCTCCCTCTCAATGAGGGAGCTGGGCTTCCTTCCCATGTCTGAGCACAGGGGCTGCGTGCAAGCATTTCAGTGGCGTGCAGTCATCTCATCTGTGGGCTTCTGTGTTATTTTTTTTTTTTCATCTTAATGTATTATGAGCACTTTTTTTTATGTCAGTATGTGTATAAGTCTAAATTATTTTGATGGCTTGTAGATGAATATTTATGTGATTGCAGCACTATTTCTAGCAGCCCCAAATTGGCATTGGACAATTATTATATGTATACTTTGTACATGCACTTCTATAAGCATCTGTCTGCACTGGATCAATTCTAAGAAGCAGAATTACTCCGTCAGTGAGCATGGTGGGTGTGCATGTTTAAAATGTTAAGTTTGTTCTCAGAATGCTCTAGAACCTGTCAGCTTATCTCTTGGTAATCCAGGTGTCTAAATAAAATACAATGTATTTCTCTTTATTACCCGTGTCTTTGCCAAGAAGTTAATTGAGTTTCCTGAAAGCGTTTCTGCCCTTGGTTTCTTGGGCTGAACAACATATCCCCTCCCACTTATCATAACTTATCATAACCTTCCAAGCCTTCCTTCTCTTTAGGCTTGTCTCAGAGAGGAGCAGAGTGCTGCACTGGCTTTCTCTCCCCTGAGAATCTGCCTTTATATGCAGGTTTGCCCATCCGTGTTTATTGCAATCACTACCCTATCGGTGGCCATGTGTGTCGTTGCCACCAGCTGATTCCTGAGGCCTCTGTCCCTCCTTAGATTGGAGACTGAAGATGGAAGAGGGGCTGGAACTGGTGAGAGCAGGGCTGCCTTGGAGGCTGAGCCTCCTCTGTCAGTGGTGGTGGCATGCTCAGGGTCCAAGCTCTTGGGTACTCCTGCTCTCTGCAGTGCTCAGGTGTCCTTCAGGAGCCACCTTTATTCTCAGAGTAGCTTCTGGAGGTGCAGCAAGGGACCCCAAACAGCGCTGGCCCGCTGCAGGGGGCTGGACTGGGCTTGGATCTGTACCCTCCCTGTGTGAGGGCTGTTGTCTGTCTTGCTGGGTGTGGGGTTGATCACTAGAGATTGTTTTCCTGTCACTTTGATCCCATCAAATTTATATTTTCTTGGAAATTCCTCCTAGTTTTGGTCAACTGAGCTATTTCCCCACTGTCTAGCATTGCTATATATCCTTTTATATTTCTGTTTATATTTAGTAATTTAGAGGTTTGGGGAGGAAGAGATATAATGAATACTCACTTATTCAGTTTGCTATTTAGATTGGGAAGTTTCTTTAAACCAAGGAGGTCTCATCCCACTGGACTGCACAGCCTCCCTGCTATGGGCCCCTCGCCCCCTCATCATCCAAGCGGTTTCTGTCTGGCTGTGACCTGCTCTGCCTTGCCCCCCGAAGCCCTCACTATCCCCCAGAGCCCTCTTCCCTGGGACTCTCCCCCTTCTCCCCCACTGTCCCTTGGGGCCTTCACTGTCGCCCAGGGTCTTCACTCTTTCCTGGGGCCCTTACTGTCCCCTGGGGCCCTCATTGTCCCCTGGGGCCTTCACTCTTCCTTGGGCCCTCACTGCCCCCTCACTGTTTCCCGGGGCCCTCTCTGTACCCTGGGGCCCTTGCTGTTGTCTCCTCACTCACACTTGCTGTGCAACTTGCCTTTGCCCTGATGATAAAAAGACCTTTTTATTTGAAGTGCTTGATTTTTTCTCTCCTGTTTTCCCTTCAAACTCCCTCTGGTGGGTGAGGCATGCAGTAGGGTTTTATTGCTGTTCTTTATGAATGCCGCCAGAGCTGGGCTCTGGTTCTCTGACGTAAAACTGCTCACTGCTGGTTTTATTGCTCTGAATCAGTGTTTGTACTGATGGGAGCAGCCTTCGGAAAGGGTCTGAATTGATTTAGTCTCAAAGAACTCCTCTTTGACAGTAAGAAGAGTGGGAAGAGGTTCTGAAATACGGCGCTTTTTGCCTAATTCCATGCTCCAAATCTTTACCTGTTGGGATGTGCTGAAACAGATCAGGATGAATGTATAGGAAGGACACAGAGCCCCTGCCTGGACAAGGCATCCCCGAGTGACATGGAGGGAACTTGACCCTGTGTGGGTGGGCCTGTCCTCGGGATGAGCGAAGGCTCCCTTTCCTACCCCGCCTTTGTTCCACTCCCATGCAGACAGCAGGCTGGCCTGTGAGCAGTGTGCTGAGACCTGGGAGCCTAGCTGGCTTGCTGAGAACTGTTCCTCAGCGGCTTTCTAACACCACCTGCCCCCCACCCTACAGTTTACCTTCTTTGCACCATTTCTGCCTGAAGAAACACTGTCAGTCACAAGGCGTGGGTGTTATGGACTTGTGTGTAGTCATGCAGACTTGACCCTTGATAGGAAACTGGTTGGGCAGGATGGAATTGGGAAACTCAAGTTTTCTATCTTCTTCTGCATCTCGGAAAGAGGTGTGTAACAGTGTTTAGTTATAAGCAAGTAACTATTTTGAGGGAAACTTGTATATTTAAGAGCAGTGTTTTAATTTGGACTATTCTTTGGTTTTCTAATATTCTATTGAGTTTGAAATACCCCCTCTGCACAAAAGCAGCTAAAAAGTTTTGTCAGTAATAGCTTAATTGAGTCTTGATGTGGTTTGATTTCTTTAGATTATGCTAAGGTTTTCATCCGGAGGTCTTCCCGGGGGAGGCTCTGCCTTGTTCTGGTCTGAACTGGGCTGGCTGCTTCAGTCTTTGTGCTCCTGTCTCCTGTGCTTGATCTTGAGTCTGTTCATTGCCACCAAGGTTAGTATAATTTAGGATATAAGTTTTCTTAAAAAGAAACTTAAATTGTGCTTTGCAATGCCAGACTGTTTAAGGATTCTACTAAGTTTTAAGGACTTTAAAGAGAGAAAATGAATTTTGAGGACCTGCATTTAACATAGAGAAGACATCAATTCCAAACTGCAGGTAATAGGCGGGTTCTGGACCTAGTGAGGCCCTGGTTGGGAAAAGTGACTAACCTGAGAGCTGGGGGTTCCTGGCAGGGGTGGGGCTGAGGCCCGAGGACACAGGGGAGGGTAGAACAGTCAGTGACATAGAGGGTAGAACAGTCACTGACACAGCTGCATGCAGGTGTGTTGGAGGAAGACTGATTGGAAGGATTGAAATTTGGTACAGAAGGGCTCTGAGCCTCTTGTGCAGCTTCCTTCTGCACCTGAAGGAAGGGTTTCAGAAATGCCCCTGAGCCTTCCCGCCCCAGGCCCTCCAGGCTGTTGAGAAGCCCAAGGGCACATTTGCAGCTTTAGCTGTCACTCCCCAACTTCCACTCTCTGGGAATTTAATCAGTCAGGATTTGTTCTGGAAATCACAGAGACAGAACGACTTCTTTTTCAACCTGCTTCTTTTTTTAATCCTTAAATTGTGTTTTGTCTTTAAAAATCACAAATCCTCAGAACATTCACTGTCAATGGAGCATTGATGGGTTGTTTTGGCAATTTTCTGAAATCCTTATACAGTTTGTGGAACATTTGCATTTATGCTCCTTTTTTCAAAGCCACCATTGTGGAAATGCAAATTTCTGAGTTCTGAGATGCTGAATGTTGGGTGATTAATGACATTGAGATTTAAGAATGAGTTCCCGGATGGATTTGACATACAAACTCAACATCAGAGACCATTGAGTGCAGCTTGGTGCCGGAACCAGAAGCTGTAATTGGAGCGCCGGGCAGTGGGCAGTCAAAGCAGACAGGTGTGCAGGTGTTCTGCCCCTCCTGACTCTGGGCTCCAGAAGGAGGTGCTGGGCGTAATTTGGACTCTGTTTTACCGTAGGTGTTTAAAACTTGTAGTACGTAGTAATACATTCGCGTTGCTTATATGTTGCTCTAAGTCAAAACCTGCTATGCTTTTAGGCCATAATGAGTAGTGGCTTTGTTCTGGGTTGTTCTCTACAGTTATTTAATATGTTTTGCATGATACCTTGTATAGGTAGCTCCAATGCCATTATTCTCATTTTATAGTTAAATAAATCAGTAGTTACTGCTATCTAGCGCTTAGCAAATCAGAGGCCAACCTAGAAATCGAATTGGTCATC